CCGGCGCCTTCCTCTTCCAGAATGTGCTCGGCCATGACTTCGGCGGCGACCTGCACTCGGGCTGGAGGGCGAACGTGATGCTCGCAGCGAGGGTCTCTGCCGTCATGGCCTTGAACGGCACAGGGGTCGGGCCGGCTCCGGCGCGCGCAATCATCTTGCCCCAGAACGGCTGGTCGCCGAAGAACGGGACAACAACCGTCGGTCGGCCGGCCGCGATGCCAGCCGCCGTGGTGCCGGCGCCGCCGTGATGGACCACAGCTGAGACGCGTTGGAAGAGCCAGTCGTGAGGGCAGTTGCCGATGAGATAGACGTTGGGCGGCACATCCCCGGCGCCGACACCACCCCAGCCCTTGGACACGATGGCGCGAACACCCGCTTGCCTGACGGCCTCGAAGATGAGACGCGTCAGGGCTTGGGGGTCGTCGACGACGATGGAGCCGAAGCCGATGTAGATAGGGGCTGGCCCATCTTGGAGGAAGGCCACCAGGTCGTCGGGGGGTGTGTACTTGCTGGCCATGGGCAGGAAGGAGAAGCCCGTAATCTTGATGTGCGAGTCCCAGTCGTCGGGCTTGGGAATCAGACTCTCGGTCCAGAGGTAGGTGAACGGAACGCGGTGGCGTGGCAACAGGTTGCAACCCCACATCGGGCTGATGGGGTCCAGGTGCAGCGTCTGCATGCGGAACTTGTTGATGATGTCCCCGAGGCTGTCACGGTTAGTGCACGGTCCGATGCGTACTCTGGGGGACCGCAACTTACCCCTGCCACGTCAGAAGCTCCATGACCATGAAGGAGAGGTAGTTGGCGGACTTGGCGTCGGATTCACCATAGTTCATGGCGGCCAGCGGGTGGTGGAAGGCCTCGGTCGGCGACCACGGCATGGTGAAGACCATGTGCAGCGGGATGCCGAGCTTCTCGGCGCAATGAATGTGCGCCATGGAGGGCGGGTTGGCAATGATGGCGTCGGCGATGAAGAGATCTTTTGGGTCGGGCACGTTCGCCGCCCTGAGGGGCTGTTTGCTCATGCCGTTGCCAGCCTCGATGCAGCTGCGCCAGCCGCCGTTGATGATCTCGGACATTTCGGCGCGCCTCTTGCTGATGTCGCCGGCTCGCATGCTCTCGCGGCTGGGCAGCAGACCCGGGTTCTTCACCATGTAGGCCATGAGAGCTTCGGGATCACCGCCAATGCTGAAGAATTCCACGCCATTGGACTCGACAAAGTCTTTGAAGACGGGGTGCGTGCAGATGCGTACGCGATGGCCATAGGTTGATTTGAGGAGCTGGGCAATGGGGATGAAAGGTTGAACATCGCCTCGAGACCCGACAATGTGGATGGCAATACACAGAGGCAGGCGCGGGCAGTGGGATTCGTCGTCGTCGTCAAAGGGTATGTAGCTCCCCTTCCGGACTTTTGGCGGGTGTCTGGGTGGTGGACGATCGCAAAAGTTGCCTTGAAACCGCGAGACCCATCCGGCAAGCATCTTGGGGCTCGCGTGAAACTGAACGTTGACGCGGCCATCGTTGCCGACGTTGCTAGATGTGGTTGGGTTGGCGTTGGCATCGTCGAGGGCGATGTGGCCAAGGCCTCGTGACGAGATGCGATTGAGGGCCATGGCGACTTGCCAGCGTTTGTCGCAGCGTTGCTGTCAGGTTCGTGCCAGCAGAATGGGGCTTGTGGGCGCGTGGTGTGTCGTATATGTGTGTCTGGTACTGGGACGAAAAAGCGCGGTGGATGAAGTACACAATGTTGATTGATGAATGACGATGGCTGTGGGTTTTGGCCGGCACGGCGCGGGGGGGGGATCGTGGGTTAATGCCGAGGACGGACAAAGTTGGTCACCGCGGGCTGTGGAAAGGAAACTCGCCGTGGACAATGCAAGCAACGCAATCATTCAGCTGGCAGTGAAAGTTCATATCAGAATGATGACGGATGGGCTGTAATGGCCGTGTCCGAGTAAGCCGGCCACCAGAGTTTGCATCCAAACCGCATTCGGTCGGCACCGGGTGGATAGCGCAAGGCACCTAGAGATGGTAGTTGACTAGTGGCTGTGTGCTGATTCAGGGCACGGGCCTAGGCGGCGGGGCACGGGACGAATGGTTGGTTCGCTGCCCTGGGGCAAGCTTTTGAGCATCCTTGACATTCTCGGAGGCTTGTACTTTGTACGATGGGAGTTTGGTGATTGGCGTCCATTGAAATGACGTCGGGGCGGGTCAATCAGTCACGGCAGACAGGGAGTGGCCGGCGCGCGCCGTGGATAGGTAGGAAAGAAGTCCCCTTCTCGCCCCTGGTCCGGCAAGCTTCAGCTGCAGGCAGGAGACGGAAACTGCAGTGCGCTTAGTCACATTATGGGAGCAGGAGCCAGCCGTTCCGAGAGGCGCACCTACCTTGCTTGCCGCGCACCGAGACCGAGACCGCGCCTCGGTTTCGCCAGTGCCCAAGTGCCAAAGACAACGAGGGAAACCGCGCGGGTTGAGTTGGGCTTGGCAGTTGGCAGGCGCAAGCGTCAGTCCAGGGGTCGAGACTTCCATTCCGATGAGCATGACCTGATAAATGGTTGCGGGAGCAAGGGCGCCCCGGGGTCCCGGCCAACTGCCTACCCATAGAGGCAAAAACGGGTCTCAGGCGGCTGGTGCTGGCGCTGGTGCTGGTGCTGGTGCTGGTGCTGGTGCTGGTCCCGGTGCTGGCCCCGGTGCGCACGCTGGTATGCGACGGCAAGTCATGCCACCCACGACCCTGAGACGCCAATTCTACTTTAGCACTCGCATCCCCCCTCCTCCCTTTCCAAAAAAACCCCCCGGGACCCTGGGGTCACCTTGGTCTTGCTTTCTGGGCTTTTTTCTTTCCTCCCCGTCAATTCCCGAAAGAATACAGCATACTTGGCAGTCCACGGGGTCCCATCATCATGGCGGAACCAGCTGCTTTCAGTCCTGTCAGGAGACCGACGACCGACGACGCAACAAGTGCCGGCCGTCCCGGCCCACCCGAGAGATCCGCGACAGGCACAGGCACCATAGGTACCACAAGCACAAGCAACCGAAGTCTCGTCGGTCGCGTTCGCGGTGCTTCCATTTCGCTGATCAACGCAAACCCCCAGCTGGGCATGTGGCAAGCTACCGGCACAGCAATCGCTCAGGCACCAAATCTGACAGAGCTGCGCGATCCTGAGCTCGGCGGCGACCACATCGCCTTCAACGCACAAGGCCACTCAACCCGCGTCGCCCGGGAGGAGCCCGACGGCGAACTCGCCTTGGTCAGCAGCTGGGTCACCAGACGCCAATCCGGCTTCGGCCCTGGTCAGCAGGAGACAAGCCCCGAACCCATCCCCGAGGTGGACCCCATGGACACCCGGTACAACGACGTCACCGCGGCCCACGGCGTCCTCGACGCCCCCGAGGAGATCACCAACACCCAAGGCGCCCCCGAACCACCCCGCCAGGACCTCAAGCGACGCAAAAGTCTTCACGAAATGCGCACGACACAGGAGAAGGCCAAGTGGGGGCCGACCATCATGAACGGACTCAAAGCCTTCTGGAAATTCTTCATCACACCGTCAGGCTTCCTGATCACCATCTATGGCCTCAACATTGTGGTGCGTACTCTCTAGGACTCCCTACTGACACGCCTTCGCTGACGATGCACAGGCATGGGGCGCCATGCTCTTCTTCCTCTTGCTCAAGGCCGCTCCTGCGATGACCACCCGTCTGCCGATGCCGACAACTCGCCGCGCAAGATCTGGCTCGAGATTTCCAGCCAGATCTCAACGCCCTCTTCTGCGTCACGGGTTTCGGCCCGGGCCCCGTGGCGGTTCCGCGACCTGTATTACTACATCAGGGCCGTCAACTTCAAAAAGCAAACCGCCATGCGGAAGTTGGCGAACCAGAACAAGTCCTGGTTTCGCGCCGCCCGCGTGGGCTGCCGGGGATGGAGGCGACGGTATCGTTGTGGACGAGGACTCGTCCGACATCGCCAGCACGTTCACCGGCAAGAGGGCGCCACCGACGCCCCTCTGGAAGCTTGGCTTCACCATCTGGATGATGGTGCTCAACACGTTTCTGCAGGCTGTGCTGTGCGGCTTCATGTGGGGATACAATCGGTTCGATCGTCCGGTGAGTACGCCCCTTTATGGGAATCTATTTTCCTGTCGCTGATCCTTGTCGTGTAGTCCTGGGCGACGGGCACGTTCATTGCACTTGGCTGTGGTGTAGCCATGGCGGCTGGGCTCATGTCATGGTGGGAGGGCCGGAAGGTGAAGAAGATAGAAGGCCCCGAAGTACAGGTCGTCCAAGAAGTCCAAGAGGTTCGACAGGTCGAGCAGGTCTAAGATGAGGGGTATCGGAATTATGGATACACTATGCAAATGTTTAATGTTTAGAGAAAGCGATAGAGATGTGGCGCCGACAACGTGCTGTCGACGACCAACTCGGTTGCACCCTGGAACTCGCCTCACTCGGCCAACTCTTGATGTGTGATCTTCGATTGACATGCGAGCGACAACCGGTGCTCAGCATCTCACATTATATGAAGAGCCTGCCATGCAGATCCGATGCCCTGTCATCACAGCTTATGAAAAGAACGTGTCACGGCCCGACCGTCTCCTGCTATTTCCTGCGACCCTTCCAAAGCCCAGCCTTTGGGCAGCTTGACGACGGCTCTAGAATGCGCGGGGATGGTCACAGAGAGCGTCCCGCTTGACCTGTCCTCCTGCTGCACCACAGACACGCGCACCTCGCCCGCAGGCGTGGCGATGGAGCATTCGACAAAGCTCAGGGCGGCCAGCACAGGCTCGACACCAATGTCCTTCCATCCGGGAGTTAGCGGGTACAAGCCGGCGACGTATCTGGGCAAGAGATGAACGGGCCACGTGGCCCACCCGTGCGCCAGCGAGACGTCGTGCATCAGTGGCGAGCCGTCGAGTTTCATTGCTTCCCAGTGCGCTCCCGAGTAGTTGGGACCCGTCGAGTCGGACATGGGATGCCAGACCGCCCGGAGCAGATCCACGGCGCGCCGGGCCTTGCCCTGGGCGAAGAGCGCTTCGACGGCAAATCCAGATGCGTAGGGACTGGCGACCCCAAACTCGCCCCAGTGGCCGAGGTCCTGGAAAGCGGCAGGAAGATCTCCGGAGGGTGAAGACAGGCGTTCGATGAGTCTCGGGTGAGGGGGCACGATGGCCTTTGTGAGCGCGTAGGCGTTGACGTCCTGACTGAACCCGTCTGCGGGCAGCGACGCACCCATTCGGAGGATACCGAGCTCGTCATCCCAGAGAAGCTCAGCCATTGCTCGTTTCAACGTGCTGGCTCTGGACAAGTACCAGGGACGGGAAAGTTCGTTTTGGGACATGGTGGCCATGGATAAAAGGGCGTCGTAGTAGGCAATATTGAGGCTCGAGGATACACCAAATACCGGGCCGCCCATTGGAAACCAGGTCACTGTACTCAAGTCAGTCGATTTGTTTGAGGTTTCGCAGATGAATATGAACTTACTCTGCAGGTGGGGAGGTGCTTCGATGAGGCCTGCCGCGTTGGTGAACTTGTCCGCATAGTGAATCAGCTTCTCCAGTTTCTGGAAGCAAGACTCAACTGCTTCCCGCTCTCCCGAGTGCATCCAGTAGTCCTTGATGGAGACCACCAAAAGTAAAGCATAAGTGAGGGAATAGAAAGCATAAGACGGAGGCGGGCCCTCGTCTCTATGCTCTGGCGTCTGGATCGGGCAGAGGTTCCCCAGGTAGCCTTCGGCTGTCTGGTGGCTCACGAGCAGTCTAATGGAGCCCCTCCAGGCCTCAAAGTCGACCGTTGAATACGCCAGCGAGCGGCCCATGACGAAGACGTCGCCTCCGAAGCATGCCCGGTCCCGTTTGGCCCCATCAACTGTGCAGGCCAGTTGATTCGTGCCGACCTGGAAATCAGCAAACACAGCCGCGGCTTCGGGTGCCTGCATGCTGTTTTTGTAAAGCTTCTCACCGTCCAGGTCCGAGACGGTCAGGTTTCTGTACATCGAAAGCCAGCCCTCAGGCCCCCCGAACGCAACGGATCCGGTATTCATCTTGCCGCCGGAGAGCATACCTCTGATCTGCACGTCTTTGATCTCAGCCACCTGCTTATTTTCAATGACAATAGTGACTGTGCCTTCCTTAACGATGGTGCGGACGGCCAGCCAACCGGACAACTTCATATCGGCAGGCAATGGCCAACTCCCTCTTGGAACCACGGGCATCATCGAGGACTGATTTGAGAGTCCTTCAAAGGCCTCGAGTTTCCTCTCGTCAGCATCGAGGCAGAGAACCAGACCGTTGGCAACCATATGAACCCCCCAACTAGCTCCAACACGGCCAATCGTCACCTCGAACTCGACAATCTTGTCGGTCCATTCAGTACCCTGACGACAGGGAGCCCAGTGGCCGGCAAATACATGCGTTCCGTCCGCTGTGACGTCCCACGCTGGCCGTGTCTCCCCTTGGCGAACGGTACACATGTCGACGGTGCGCACCCCATCTGTCCATATGCTGTTCAGGCTTTCGTCGGAACAGCGAAAAGTGCTCGGTACGGGCGTCTCGGCGCGCACTTTGCGAAAGCCGATGGATGAAAACGTGATAGATGTTTCCGGAACAACGAGTGAGACCTTCTGATACCGTTGGGAGTATTGAGTATGGCGCGCTTCTACCATATGGGGCTCAGTCCCCCGCCTCGCATCATGTAGGCAGCTCCTGTAGCTGTCCATGGCGTTGGAGAAGAGAAAGAAGGGTCCATCGCCTGAAAACAGACTTAATAAACACAACTCTTATGTGCTCTTTGAAGGGGGCGCGATGGGGCAGTCAAACCTTTCTCGTGGTCAATGCCAGCCCGCGTCTCGCTGTACGTGACTCGGAAGGGAACCGTTGGCTCGGGTCCCGAAGCCGACTTGATGTGAAAAACAGGGATGCCGCCTTCGCAGCGGCCATAGTCGAAGATGACTTCAATGTTACCGGTTCCCTTTTGGTTTGAGAGAGTAAAGGCAGAATCCGTCAGGTCAAGCGGCGACTGTGATGTAATATTCACTGTGGCCCTCGGACACGCCGTAGACTGGGGGGCTGTCGACATGATGGCTCATTCTTCTGGAAGCAGTGATTCGAAAGTTGCAGCCCGCAGATACGTCTATATGATATGGTCTACGGGTCACAGCTTCGCTTGAAACATACCCCGAGGTAGCTCAATAATGTGCTACCCTTGGCGGAGGGATGCGAGACTCTCGACCTTCGGCGGCCGGAAGTGCCCCACACCGATGATCGGGATATCCGGGCATCGTGTCCGAGGCCGGGAAACCCGAACGGCGACTTCTGACGGGATCGAGCATTTCGACGCAACAGAAGGACTTTAGTCAGGCAAACGTCCGAGTCCTGTTTGTTCCCAAGCATATCAGTGGGAAAAGCTGGTAGCTACCTATGCAGGTGATTCTGACTTCTGTCACGACATCAGTTGCCCATATACCCCGCGTTTCCTGTGCGGGGGGGGGCAAGGACATTGATGGTGAGATGTTGGAGTGGAGAGATGGAACCAGGAATGTGGATTGAGTAGACTTTCTGCTGTGCATTTTGTTCAACATGGCTTGTCATCAACTCCGATCAGCTAGCATGCGTTTCGTAGGCAGATCCACAAAGATTTGGCCACGATTCGAGAGAGCCTTTGGTGTGCGTCGTGCAATGAAACCTCACATCATCCTGCCGAAGATGTGCAACATGGAAAGGATTTCTCCGGGTGTAAAGGCAACCGACGTGGAAGTTTCGACAGTCTATCAGTCTATGTCGCGCCTCGAGCTTTTGATCTGCTCGACGCCCTTGTCGACAGACCTCTGATTGAGCACAGCTGATATGCGCGAGGCTTCCACATCGGACCATGTAAACCATCCATTCTGCTCCGTCCAAATGACTGTGCTCAATGACACATCTCTCGGGACCATGCTCCTGGTCAAGCACAGCAGAGACTGTCGATGAGCGCCGGTGACCCATTGCCCCGAAACTCCTTCAAAAGCCAAGGAACTACATGGCGCGAGCTTTCAGCATGGATCAGGTCAAATATGGGGACGTGAGCGACCTCCTTCCCCATCAACCCTAGCAAGCCGTGTGGCCGGCCTCGGCGACCAGCCTCGCCTGACGGTGAAATCGAACGTGGTACAGGTGCATGGGGAAAACGCGACTCGTACTAGTCGATAAGGTTGAGCGAGCTGTCTCTAGCTCGCAGTGCGCAATGGCCATCCCGTATTGTCCCCATGTGCCTTGTAACGGTCCATCGATAAGGTTCCGGGTTCCGCTGCGCTTCGAGCCGAGCTGCGGCACTTCATCTTGATTGGCACTGTACCTAGAATGTAGAGCGGGAAGGCCCCGCCTGGCTTGGGTACCTAGATACCTATCCAAGAGGTTTCTAAACCTTCTGGACTGGCCTTGCCTTCTTAACGCCATGCATCTCTTCTCGTTTTGTTGCTATCCTCGACTAGATCGGTGTCCGAACAATGCTCCATATCCGAGACACCTTCGACGATTCCTTCGTTCCAGCGTGTGACGACCCTGAACTGCTGGTGTCCGCCGACTCGTCGCTGGCATCTGAAGCATGACCAGAGCCAGCATGGCTTGCATCATGAACGCCGCCGTCAACACGAATCGCTTCGACCAAAGCATGCCCAATACCACGAGTCAACGACGATGGGTTGCCAAGACAAATACCTCGATAGCCTCGTATGCACGCTGCAGCCCTCGATGCATGGCACTCGGCCAGCCTGAAAGCCACCAGCCATGGTCATTGCTGGTCAGCATGACACCAGGCTTCTGGAAGCGCCACAAGAAGACAGACTGTACGAATGCGGAAGCTGGGCCATCTCTTCCTGGGGAGACCCGCTTTCTTCAGGATACAGTGAACCTCTTCTTGGCATGGATAGGGGGAGGAACATATCTGGCATCTAGTTTCGGAACCGTCCATGGTCTGCATCAGTTGTATGACCCTCGCAATGCGGCTGATCGAAATCTGAGCGATCGCACTGAGAGAGAATCTGCTTGGGCCAGACAAGAACACGGTACTTGCGGGCTGACCCTCTTCTCTCCAGCATGAGGCAACATGGTCCCCCTTGCTAGACCCCTCCGCCAAGACCTCGGCCGCTTAAAAGCAATCACTAATGGCTGTGCTCTTGCCAAGCACCACGACGACTATGACCACGTCTTGGGACCTTCTTGTTTGAGCATGCCGTCCCCTCCAGACACCTTTTGGTTGGCCAATGGCACCTTGAACGGCCATGTCATTATCGTCGATAGGACACCTGGGTCTCCAGTCGAGCTATGGAGGCGACTAGCCTCGACGCGCTTCGTGTTCCCTTTTGGAAGGACGAACAAGTCGCCCAGGCGCTACAACAAGTTACAACCCTCTTCCCCGGAACTACCAGGACAATTGAGAGGCCTTGATAGCCCCGCAGACCTTGGCAGTTTGCCTCGCCTGCTCAGATGTGAGCTCACAAGGGCGGGGTCTGTGGAATGTGCAGTCTGACCTGTCCTGCCGTCACCCTAGGGGTTGTTGGGCAGGCGGACCTGTCGATCCTCGTCTTCTGTCTTGGATGAGGTCTCGACGACGCGCAACCTATATATAGAGGACCGCGTCTCTCTGGCCTCTTACGACGAGACGGAGCAGTCTTCACGAGCACGCTTCGCACCCTCCTCTGAAGCCCGTCCCTATCCTTCCGATTCCGTCCTACGTTTCATCACCATGGTGCGCGCCGCCAGCTACCTGGGCTCCCTTGCCCTGCTTGCCTCTTCGGCCCTGGCCAAAGAGGTAGCCGTCAATGAGGCTGTCGCCGCCGAGCTTTACGACTCGGGCCTTGTCCACAAGGCCGTCATGGACAGAAAGATGGTGAGTCTCCTTTTTTCGAAACCCGTATCTCGCATGGATCCTCTAACAAGAGGGACACAGAACTTCTGGAAGACGGCGAGAGAGTCTGGCATCTTCAAGAGCGAGCAGTACCCGGAACTCAACGCCACCAAGTGCGTCAACGGCTGGGCGGAGGCCATCGTCGGGGATCGCCACAACACTTTCAGGTGCAACAACGTCGACCTCGTCCACTTCCTTCCTCACATTGCTCTCGGCAGCCCCGGCGCCGAAGGATCCTCCTCATGGGGCTGGACCTCGGGACGACGACCGTGAGTTTGTCGCCGTCGGTCAGTACGACGGCACTGTCCTTTTATCGAGATTGGCAAGGACGGCCGCATGACCTTACCTCGGCCGCCTGCCCCAGGTGACGACCCCTTCCGAGTGGCGTGAGATCCGGTCCTACAAGCACTACATGATCATTGGCTCCGAGGCGCCTGGCCACGGCGTGCAGATCTTCGACATGCACAAGCTGCTGACCATTGACCCTGCCAACCCCGTCGTCTTCCACCCCAGGAACGACCTGGCCGCCTGGACCAACGCCCTCATGCCCCGCGGCAACCAGCACAACATTGTCGTCAACGAGGAGCTGAACTACTTCGCCGCCGTCGGCTCGCAGCCTCGCACTGACCCCAACTGCCGCAGTGGTCTCAACTTCTTCGACCTAACCGACCCCACGAACCCCAAGTCCCTGGGCTGCGCGGCCGGCGACGGGTACGTCCACGACGCCCAGTGCATGGTGTACCACGGCCCCGACAAGCGCTACGAGGGCCGTGACATCTGCTACGGCTACAACGAGGACACGCTGACCATCTACGACGTGACCAACAAGGCCAACGTGACCAACATCATCTCGCGCATCAGCTACGAGGGCGCGGCCTACACGCACCAGGGCTGGGTGCTCGACCCCAAGAACCAGGAGTACCTCGTCATGGACGACGAGCTCGACGAGGTCCGCGCCCGCGGTCCCGCCGCCGACGGCTTCCCCGTCACGTACATCTGGGACATTCGCGACCTCGAGAAGCCCAAGCAGACGGGCCTCTACAAGTCCAAGACCAAGGCCATCGACCACAACCAGTACGTCATTGACGGCCTCAACTACCAGTCCAACTACGGAGCCGGCCTCCGTGTCTTCGACGTCAGCTCCATCCCTCGCGACCCCACCGGCGCCTCCGTCTGCGAGGTCGCCTGGTTCGACCCTCTACCCGGAGGACGACGACCTCCCCGGCGGCGGCGACGTCGAGTTCCTCGGCACCTGGTCCAGCTACGCCTACTTCAAGTCGGGCTACGTCTTCATCAACTCGATCGAGCGCGGCGCCTGGACCGTCAAGCTCACCGGCACCGACTGCCCGCGGGCCCCCGTCTGCAACGCCGACAACTGCCTGCGTTCCTTCCGCGCCACCTCGGTCCCCGGCCGCCTCGCCGAGTCGCGCGAGTTCTGCGACGACTTCCTCAGCCGGCCCGTCCGCGATGTCGCCGCCCTGCCGTCCCACGCCGTCAAGAATTGCGCCGGTGACGCCATCGCGCGGGCCTCGAGCGCCTGCGCCTGTCTGCCTACGGCCACGCCTGCTCCGTAGGTGAGGCATACGTATATGATCTGAAGACACGAGAGGGATGAGGATGCATGGTTTATAGCAATGATCAATACAAGATGCATATGTAGAAGAATGGCAAATATATGTGAACATAGTGAGCCACATACCTCGAATGGTCCCTCAAAATGTGACATGTTGTCATGTCCCTCACGCCACCCATTCATCCCACCTCACACTTGACGCACATCACAATGGCACGGCACAACCATCAACGAACCACGAATCTATAGCATCCAGAACCGCAAGTGTCATTCATTACATGCTACAGAGGGCTAGTCGCCATGACTCTCAACCAGCACCAGGGAAAAAGAAG